CGTTTTGACTACTCATCATTTTGCACATGTTGAAAAGTAAGTGAGATACTGGACTATTACTTAAATTACAGAAAACAAGCAATGCTTAAACTAGACACAGATCAAAATGTGTCTAGGGGACTTTGATTTCAGAATGGAGAAACCAAATATGAAGGGTGCTGTTTCAGAAACACAGGAAAAACATTTCTTAAGGCATTCTTGTGGGTAGTGGGGCGTTTAAAATCTGCAATCAAATCGAGTAATTCACATAAAATACTGAGCAGTTCGGACCCAAAAATGTTTTTTCTTTGTTTGACTTTGTTTCAGGAGGTCGTTGTGTAATGTTCTCCATCTTACTGTGGATACTATAAAAATGGTTTCATCAGACCAGAATTCACATGCATTCAATGCTATTAAAAAGACTTCTGCAAATATGTACAGCATGCAATGACCCAATTATTGACAGCACAGCATGCAACCGCCGCTACACAGCTAATACATGAGTCATCAAAGATATCAAAGCTAGAACAAGTCTACTGACAGAGGTAGAATGAAACTGCCATGCCTTTACTTGTCGTGAAATATTAAAAAAAAGGAAGAATGAGTATGCAGGTCTTCAGGAAATGCAATACTTTTTTGCCCTTGTCTTTGAACAGGAAGTCTGTCATTTAAATCGCAGCCCACTCATTTTTGTGGCTCTTTGGCAAAGTATGCATATTTGGTGACATTAACGGTTCCAAAGCATATATGCAACTCCCAGCCGAATATAGTGTAAGACAAATTTAGAATAAGACGAATATAGAGTAAAACAACATTGTGCTTTAGATTACAATTGAGAGTGAATGCAGAGAGGAACAAAGCGCTCCATCTCAGGTTTTTAAATCAGTTTTATGTTTTTGAATGTCTCTTCTGCTAACAAAGGCGGCATTTATTTGATTAAAAATACAATACAAAATTGTGAAATAATATTATAATTTAAAATAACTTTTCTATTTGAATATATTGTCAAATGTAATTTATTTCTGTGAAGCAAAGCTGAATTCTTAGCATCATTACTCAAGTCTTCAGTTGTGCTGCTTCATATTTTTGTGGACACCGTGATACATTTTATTTTTCTGGATTCCTTGATGAATAGAAATTTCAAAAGAACAGCATTTGTCTGAATATATTTAATATATGTTTTGTAACATTATAAATGTCTTTACTGTCACTTTTGATCAATTTAATGCATTCTTGATGAATTAAAGAACTACTTAATGTTTTTCTAACTCCAAACTTGTGAATGTCGGGTGTATTATGGTTTCCACAAAATATGAAGCAGCACAACTGATTTCAACATTAACAATAATCAGAAATGTTTCTTGATCAGCAAATCAGCATATTAGACTGATTTCTGAAGGATCATGTGACACTGAAGACTGGAGTAATGATGGTGAAAATTCACCTTTGCATCACAAAAATAAATTACATTTTAAAATATGTTCACACAGAAAACAGTTATTTTAAATAATATTTCACAATGCTTACTGTTTTTTTTTTTTGATCAAGTAAATATCTTGCTGAACAGAAGAAAAAAAAATTTCCCAATCCCCCTCTTGACCAGTAACCGGGTGATCCTGTTCATGCAAAATCTGTTTAAATTATGCAAAACAATAAATATCTTATGAACAAAAGTGAAGCAAAAATATAAAAGCAGTAAAAAGTCAGTGTGATTCATACATCTGACCAATTTATATCTTAGTGGCCTTGAAAGACTTATCTATTGAGAACGTCACTGACGATCTGTGATGGAGAAATTCTCTTTGAATCACAGTCACAGATGGATACAAACAATGTGGAGCTCATAAATAATCTCAGCCCTTATTCAAATCATTTGGTGGCTAAGGAGAGTCAACACCACAGGCTGCATATCTGCAGACACCTACGAGAAAGGATTCAGGCAAAATATGCTTTGTAATCAATCCACAGTTCACTGCAATACAGATGTAACCTCAGGAGCCAAACTGAAGCTGTCTGTTATTGATATGCTCTACTCACTGTTTCATAGACAAACGAAGTGTCATGTCTTCATAGTGAGCCAGCTTTGTTTCCAGTTAGGCTGGATAACTGTTATGCTGAAAGAAATGGCAATCTTGCACTGCATATGGCTGCGGGAGAGATGCCAGAAGAACTGAGGCACTGTGAATCCAATTCACACAACAACAACTCTAGAAGATGCTAGCTGGAGTTTATGAACATCCATTAGCAAAGCTTCCTGATCTGATTCCACCTTCAGTCATTTTTGTTGCCTTTTAATAAGCTGTAAAGGGACGCACATAAAATCTTGCAATTTTAAGACTGAAATTAAATCAAATAAATAAACTGAAATGTAAGATTGAAATTAAAATGGCAAATTATGTACATATTTTTAAGAAATATTAGCCATACTCTTACAATAGATGTATGAATATTCATATCTATTCCATATTCATATTTAGTAGTTAGGTTTTAGTTTTTTGAATCCGTTCACTATTCATTCAACTTTGTTTACTGAATCGTTATTCTTATCCTGCCAGATTGCGTTGAGGGTAATGAGTGAACCATTAAATCACTCACTCAACCAATTCGTTTATTAAAAACCTAGTATTTCAAGATTAAAACGAGTCTTGTTATCCTTTATTAAAAACTGCATTTCTACAAATCTAGTAAGAGAATCCAGAAAGAGTGTTTTTAAGTATTATAAGCATTTTATCCTCAAATGGAAACAAAGTACATCTATAATTTACCTCCATTTTGTCAACTGTGAAGGATTTTAAAAGAAGACAGCCAATAGCCTAAATTAACTACGAAATTACGTCCATTTGTCATTTTAATATATTCAGAATATATTCTCTTCTTGTTGTGAACGAGACTGACTCATATGACGATCTGGATGAACGGACATGTTCCCTCAAATTCCGTCAATCAGCGAAAGATTCATTCACTGAAAAGATTCGTTCACAACAGCGATTCAAAGCACCACTATTCTACAGGCAGCGTCTCCGAATGTAAAAGCTAGGCGCATCGCTTATTTGACCTCCACCACACTTACCACATAAGTCGATCCATTTTCATCGGAGCGAACCTCCGTCTCGGGGATGGAGAAATGCATTTTCTACTGTAAGATCACAAGTCTTTGACCGAGATGAAGATGCTGTTAAAAACGAGAGTGTTCACAGAAAGCCCTCGGTGTTGGTCTGCTGTCATGCAGGGACCAAACTGAATGACGGCGAGCCACGCTCGCTCCGATTCCCTGTGTAGTCCTATCCAGTCCAGTCCAATCCAGAGCTACACCAGGAAAGTTCTTTTCTTGCGACGTGGATTATTTTAAAAACTTTCTTAATGTTCAGGGCTGAACTTTTCCAATAAACATCTAAGCAGCAGCCATGTTGCAACTGGAGGTAATTCCAGGTTCATTGTCGGCAATTTATCGCTAAATCGGTCCTCTCGCTTCCTCGCGCTCTGTATAAGAATGTGGGAGTCGAGTCTGCAAAACACAAAGTGTCGTCGCAAGGCCCACGATCCAATTAACTTTCAGATTACTCAACGTAAAGGTGCTCCGCGGCTGTCTACAGCCCCCGTTTCTACCTACATTGGTACATACGAACGAGTATGGAGAGGAAACAAATGAAGAAACTGTTTGTCGCAGCATACATTTCGAGATACCGATATTGTGCTCCAACTTGTTAAGGCGTTAAGAAGAACACACATCCGTCTGCATCGTAGCGAAACCTTCCAGCACTATAGATGAAGCCTCTCTGCTGTAATGTATTCAATATGTATCTGCGCTCTCCCGAAGCATTGCAACAGTCTGGATCAAACCATTCCTCCAGAGCGGGGGGAGGTATTGCGTAAAAATGTTCATTCGAGATCCTTTGGCATGAACAAGCGTAGTTTGTAGTAAACAATCTCTCCATAACGACATAAACTTATTTTTATGTAAATGTTTAAACTGAAGTTTAAAATTTAAATGGGCTCAAAAATGGCTGTGTGATACAAGCAATGCGGTTTAGCTGCATCAATGAGTATTTAATTATTAGCCAAATCGTTTCTCAAAAGAGCAGGTTAAACCATCTTTGTGATTTGAGGTATTTAACGTCCCCTGTCTTTTTTTCTCTCAGCAAAATGAAAGGAGGTGCTTAACTTTTAGCAAAAGTTTACTTAAGGAGGTCAAACTTTTACAAAAAATATTTGCTATAATTTTTTTGTTGCCCTGTTAGGTCTAATAGGCCACGTTTGTGCAACTTCATAGCAATAAACATTACACAAAAAAATTATTAGACAAAAGTTATCAAATTTATTAATTAAAAAGCACCAAAATGGGCAATAGGTTTGCCTAAATTAACTCAACAGGGCACTATAGTGTTTTGTCGTTATTATAGTTATGGATAAACTTAAAAGTCCCATATCTGAAAGATATTTATTTATTTATTTATTACAGTAACTTTGGTAACAGCTGAATGGTTTATCTCGACAAATGCACTCAAAACTAATTTGTCTAAAATTGGCACATGGAATGAGAATATATATTTTTTTATTCAATTTAATTATTTAAGTTAATGTCCTTTTTTTTTTTTTACTTTTTTACTTGTGTTTATTTTATTTTATTTTTGATTGTCGCCTCTGAGCTGGGGCAGTCCAAAATCCACATTTAAGGGGAGATAAATAAATTTTTGTAGCCAAACTACTTGTTGTTATGCGAGGTTAATTTTATGTTTGATAATTAATTAAATTTTTGATATGTTAATTAAACATTAATTAAGTAAATTAATAAAACAACAGGGGATGTATGCCTATAATGTTAAAAAAAAGTCATCCGTATTCGTGGATGTGCCTTATTTTAAATTTCCAGACTGAATATAAATGGCGATGGTATGGCGACAATGATCTATATCCGTTCAATAACTTGAATTGTGTAAAAGCAATCTGTGTTTTGTCAGTGTTTCGTCTCTATCGAAATTTCACAGTGAGAAATGCAAAATATTTGCGCCGCCTTGTTGACGCGAATCGAACGTCACATGATCATCGAGTCACATGACTTTGTTTTGGCGAAAATGGCAGCTAGCGTTACAGCATCTACTATATATTTATGTACTGTTTTTATTGTTTTATTCAATGTATATGTCGACAGCCAGGATACTGACGCACAGGTGAGACGATTTGCAAAATGACTGTAATGAAATAATACTTACATGCTACAGTAGATAAGTCACAATGTTGCAATTTGTCATCACTGTCGTAAAGTAAAACATTGAATGTTGTTTTACAATGTTTTTTAAAGCTCGCCTTTCACCTTTGTTTTCGCTAGTTGTGTCAAATGTGTGAAGGGACTGTACGACAAGACAGTCCTGTCTGGGATTTCTGCCTAACAAAAGGCCATATTAGGGGACGCTGCTGTTTTGGAAATAATACCAGCAATGTAGACACCATTATAGGGTAGGAAAACTTTCTAGTATTCCAAAGTTATTTTAATTATGACATTTATTTTCTATGTATAACTCTTAACTGTTCTGTACTGTTTTAGGTTGGACTTGGCAAACTGCTCTATTAGTCATGTAGAGCACCTGTATAATTCATCCACTACATTCATAGTGTATGTACCAGAGCAGGTTTTTTTATCATGATAATCTGTCATTTTTAGAACTAAATTGAATATCTAACTGTTGTCATTCTATGTTTTCACAGAGACCTCTCCAACAACCCCATCTCCAATCTGAGCGATTTCATATTTCAGGGTTTCAGCCATCTTACCCAACTGTAAGTTATGCATGAGCACTTTATATCATGTTTATAACATTTAAGTCAGGGGTTTTCAGCTGGGATCTGGAGATCAGGGCGTCCATGAAAAAGTTGAGAGAAAAACAGTGTAATAGATATATATATAATCAAAATTAATAAAAGAATTGACAATAAATAAATAATAAAAATAATAAATACATACATTAAAATAAATACAAATATTAAAATAAATACGTCTAACTGTATGTGCAGTGAAAAGAATGTAATACTGTAACTATAATAAAAACTAAATATTTTTCAAATTATGTTTTATGTATATTTATATGATTTATTTCACAGTATAAATTGGGTATTGTGATGATGATATTCATCCATGGGTCCATGGCATTTAAAAGATCTAAAAGACTGAAAATAGCTTAAACACATTGAGTTAACTTGACAAATCTTTACTTAGTTTACTACCCTCAAAACTGGAGTGTCCAGGGGGCAATGCATCATGGGAGAAGGTTGAAGTGAAAAACAATGCCAAAATCTGCGAAGGACAGAAAAATATTTGCAATCAGACTGCACAGATGCGTAAGTAATGAATAAACTGGGATCTCAAGTCTTCAAAATGAAAAAAAAAGAAAAAAGAATGTATTTCAATGCATTTCTTGATTATGGTTTGTCTCTTCAGCCTGGGATTGCCCTGAAAACTCATTCTGCAGCCCATATGGACCAGGGTTCTTTGAGTGTAGCTGTCTGCATCATTTCCATGGATACAAGTGCATGAGACAGGTGAGACCTCCGTCAAATCATCCCAAACAGGTTGGCCATTACTCCTTTATCGCACACGTTCATTATCCTTTAATAATTGCAGGGCGAGTTTCCTATAGTTAAGGTGCTTGGGATACTAACCGGATCTATAGTTGTGGTTTCATCTTTACTCTGGTTCACACAAAGACGAAAGGTCAAGAACACTTGAGTTTTAAAGAAAACTGACTGTTGGGCTGACAGTGGAGCCACAAAATGCATCAAGCTTACTGAAAATGGTGCAGGAGACACCAAAGAGTTTCATACACTGGATGGTATGAACCATCTGCTTGTTTTTTTATACTTGCCAAAAGCAGGTTTGCATGACATAATTTTTTTTTAAATGTTAAAAAGTTTGCAGTTTGTGTTGAATGTTTTACTTTCCTTTAACCCTAAAGGTCCTTAAATCTTTTTATTTATACATTTTTTGAAAGGTTTCATGAATACTATCACATTTTCACAGCCTTGATAAGGCTGGTCTGTAAAGGGAAAACTGACCGTAGATGGACCTCGCCAATTGTGTTTGGAGGGCAGCCACATTTCTGACTTATCTTTAGACTCCTAAACATGTCAAAGTGAAGCACTCATGTATTTTAACAATGATTATTAAGGACAAATATTTTGTGTTACTTTAAGACAAAAATTGTTTACTTAAAAATTAGCGTTTTTGACGTAGAAAAAGAATTAATTTTACAGGAGATGGGGAAATGGATGTTGTAGGACTGTTGTTATTTGTGAAAAATGTAGATCGTTACTGCCACATCCTGCTGTTTACAGATGTCACGTTATATCCTAACTGATGATCCTTCAACCTCTGTAAATATGCTTTTCTCTTTTTGGCAGCGTAAGAGTGTAAAAGGGAATCTGTTTCATCTGAGATATATAGACGGACACACTATTAGTAGAATACTGACATACATAAATGACATTATACAGGTTTTTGTCAATAATGTAGTATTGTGGTAGGGAATTCAGCATGTACCTTGGCAGCCTGGTACCTAAAATAAAGATTTGTCACAATATCACAAAGAATCAGCCAACAGTATTTTTTTTTTTTGTAATTTTTATCTAAACCATTTATTTTTCTGTAGCGTTTCCAAGGTTTTGGTAAGACAAACAAAACCTCTTATGCAACACATTCAGCTTTTGCATGATCTTACACACATTTGCACCATGTTCTTTTTCCCTTTTCACATCTATGAAAGGACTTCGGCAACAGAAACTATCCAAAAAAGGATGATAGATGTTTATGTTTATGTCTATACACTCACCATGATGGGCCAAAATTGAAAGCAAACAGGGTTTACAGACACTTTCTTGAATTTCGTAGATCTGACACAATAACAAAGCTATCTGACATTCTTGATCTTTTGTACAACAATTCTAAGTATTAATTTGAGAATTTTCCAAGGAAAATCTCATTAGGTGGACTTTTTTTTAGAAACTGGAATTGGACCAGTTATACAATTTGAAATGAAATGGATCCCACTAGTGAGGACATAAACTGTGGCTTTATTTGAAAAGCTTGTTCCATTTCATAGATATGTTTATTGGGTGCTAGAAGCCCCATGTGCACAGATTCTTATGTGCAGATGCAAGAGGGAAGCAGAACCGTGTTCGTCTGGACTTCACTGATCTACGTTCTTGACTCGCAGTACCACAGGCACAGAGGTGCAGGGGATCATGCCCAAGTCAGTGATCACAAGGTCCACAAAGTCTGGTGGCGTCACGTCATACACCAGGTTCAGAAGCCCCAGGGATTTAACAGTCTGCCAGTTCTCTAGGTGGGTCTTCCCATTTCTGGTCACAATCAGGTCATCTGGGTCATCTGTAAAAAAAATGTTTTTTTTGTGTGTGTGTGAATAT